TTTAATATTTTTCACACTGTATTTGTATCGAACAGAAATATTAAACAAATATCATGGTAGTTTTCAATATATTGGAAAAGAACAGAGAGGACAATTATGTATATAGAAAAACTTTAACACATTTGCAATTGTCTCAGCTGGTCGATAATGGGAACTGAAAAAGTTGGTAATTCTGTAAAATATTTGTTACCGATTAATGCATTCGGATTGCGAGAAAGATGAGACGATCATTGCGGTTCTACAATGCATTCAGGGATAATATTGAGCGCATCGTATCGCGGTCGAAACGCGAGATGCGCCTGCGAATTTATGCCACTTCCCCCTATGGCATTAAATACGCCGGGCGTAATATCGCGGTTAGATATCGCAAGAGTGAGAGGAATGCAGGGATAATTGGAAAGATAACACCGTGAACGTACGATGCGTTATGTATTTTACTGGCGCAGCCGAGGCCTTAGCTTAGCAACGAATTATCGGCTGTTTGTTCTAATACCCGCTGCACGTCTTTCAGATGGTTGAGATAGTCAGAATCTGGGTCTCCTCTCTCACGAGGAACGTGAGAGTCTGGTTCCTCGGCAATCTAATCAAACACCTCGAGATGAAATTCAGAAATGTTGACGATGTGGAATCTGGAGAAAGCCGCAAGCCTAAACTTTGAAAACGAGACGGCAATAAAGTTACGAAACTTGAAACGTGAGAATTTGAAAATTGGAATTTAACCAGCAGAAGAAATAATGACGTTCTAAATTTAGAGACGTAGGACGCGTGCGGGTAAACGTATAATCGTATTCCGATGTAAAAGATCGAAAAGTTCTAGTCGCGCAACAGTCGACAGCTTTCGGATTTACTGAAGTTGAACGTGAATTATAGTCGACGCAACCTGATAACAAAAATGCCGAGATGAAAACGATACGTTGCTCGTAAATGTTGCAGTCGTGATAAACAGCGCGTTGTCCGGGATTGATTGATCCTGGCGCACGCGGTGGAGTTTCGCGGAGATTTGCCGAGAGTAAAGGGGACCGGCGTAAAAGCCTCGTTCACAGTGGGACCGCACGCGTTGAACGTGATATATTGGTACAGAGGAGTTAGAGAAGTGTCCGCTGATGGTGTATTTAATGATCCGCTTCTTCTACACGGAATCACATCGACTTCCTGCACCACTGCCACACTGATCCACATCGATATCGATCTTCCTAGATCCTGTTCCCCAACAACATTCCCGTAACAACATAGTTTTCTTGCTAAACTAACTGAATTCGAAATATTCCTATTCACTTCAAACAGCGAGTTCAGCGAGAACGTACACCCTCAGAAAGGATTTCTGTTACTAAGACAAAAAATATTCTTGACGCATTTATATTTCTCTCACAACCTCATTTAGTATGAAAATAAGACACTATCGAAATAAAGTCAATAATTCTTATTCTCCTCTATCGAATTAAAAAAGATTGAATTACTAGACTGAGACAACAGGAACTTGTTGTTGTTCTTGCGTTTAGAATAAATTTTCCCTCCATCTTACAACGCACGAAGTTGGCACCACGATATTCGACAAAAGACGATATGTACTATCATTTTATCCTAGATTTTAGAATTTGTCATTTAAGATTAAAATATTCCTTTCTCTATAATAAATATAAATAGCGCTATATCGATCCTATTTTATAATACATTTAAGTGTAATAGCATTGGATCCAGATATTTTTTCTGTGGGTGTAAGATTGTATGGAAATACAAAAATCTCAGAATATCGCGTCTACACTGAGAAAAATGTTCGATTAAATATAATCGGATAATCCAATTACATAAAAACAAACGGATATATCCGATCAAACTGTATATCCGTTGAAAAATCTGATCGGTTTTTCAATCAAATTTCATCGGATGTATCCGTAATCAGAAAACGTAATCGAAAAAATTAATCATCGGAAACACTATTTAATTGGTTTATCCGAAGAAAATTTTGCTCAGCGCACGTGTAAAAGTCAGTGTCAATTTAGTATCTTCCGTAAGTCCGACTTTGTAAGTCCGTGTCGAAATATTTTTTTTACGAGTTTAACAATGTTGGCAGGCGAAGGGGCGTTTAAAACGTAATTTTATGCGCGTACGTACAAATCGCCAGCATCGCTTCCTGTTCCAGATTATTTATTGTATCCACAGGCTAACGGTGCATGCATCTTTACGCGCTCCACGTACAAGGTTCTCTAAATGGACAAGCATTGTTTGCCAGCGAGTCGTGTAGTGTCGGTTAATGGTGCAGTCGTATCTAAGATAATTTAAATATTTAAATTGTCGCGGATAAAATTTAAAGCTTGTGTCGCGAGTCTGGAAAGGAATAAATTGAAAAAGAAACGTTCGAGAAATAGTGAGTGGCGACATTTAAAAAGTTCTCATCGATGTGAAAATCTTTTAGAACTCGACTGCCTGAACATATAAACTCGAAGGATCCTGTCACGAGTAAAAAAAATGTAACAAGTTCGAGAATTGGAGTATTCCGATAACTTGAAAATGTAGGAAGTGAAGAATACGAATCCATTCAACGAGATGTAGAATTGGAAGAATCGCGTCTAGCACTGCGTGTGCCAACCTGCGGATCACGGTTCGCGGCCTTTTAAGCGACAGGTGCAAACATTCAGGGAGCAGCGCAAAAAAGGAAGCCGGTAATTGTAAGCCCCGGGTAGAAAAACCAGTTTGCTAAAAACAACCCGGGCCTGATCGAGTCTCGTTGCGGGGCTACCGAATAACCAACGGGTATGTCGGTGTGGCGGCGTGCGTGTGAGGAGCTCGTGAGGAGCGACTTTTGGAAATCCGCTTTAAAATGTCTCTTAAAGCCTTCATCCCGCGGAAATTATGCGTTTCGCCGCCCAGGAGAAGACGCCTTAAATACACTCGGGATATTCCGAGTTGAACGAAAAATTATATTTAGAATAAGTGTAAATCACTTTTATGGGTTGCTAAAAACAAAGATGGACCTTCTTGACATTTTCATTATTTATACGACAACTAAGTGTAAATTAATGAGAAGGCGACGATCAAGTTATTCGGCGTTGAAAATCTCTTCTTTAGTATGACGTTCATATTTAACGTAATAAACGCACGCAGTCGTTCTGCCGCATTGAAAAGGCGCCAGGGAGTCGCAATACCTGAACTTATGCGGGGAAATACTTTCTATGAATGAACTTTCTCACCGCTCATCGAGGGAAAGATACAGTTAAATGCCAAAACGAACCGGAGCCGGACCGAGACCCGCAAAAAAATTCCCACTTATTCTCTCGCCGCGTAAAACCACCTTCCGTACTATTATCAAATTACAAGGAAACTGTCGTTTCAATGATGTAACAATTTATCTTCTTGGACGATTCCAAATGGCTTAAAGCTGGAGATCGGAAAAAAGTTTTAAACTCTTATAGTAATTTTCGAAATCTAAACGTTTCATTTTCTAAAATTGCATTTGAGTCAAAATGAAATACAAGACTGAAGATTAAAAAAATTAGAGAACTAAGAAAACGAACCGCGACCTTTTAGAAACTTCGTGGCTTTCAACTTTTAACTCTTTAAATTTGCAGAGCGCAAGTGGAGGGACCGCAAGAACCGTAGATCAATATGTCATTACGCGAATTTCCGTTGTGTTTACGGTCGTGTCGAACAATAATGATTTCGTGAAAAAGGAGAACAATGCCTTATTCGACATGCTATAAGCGACCTCGCTGGAATTCCAACAAGCTCTCCGGCCGCGACAGGTGAAGCCACGTGTTGTTCGTGCGGTCGCAGTCGTACTCGCAGTCCCCTAGATTCGAATTTAAAGACGATCGTTATTCAATTCAAATACGCTAACGGGCTAACGGGCCAGCTCGCAGGATTTCCGCCTCGCCGCGACCGTTCGTTACTGTGTTTTAGAAGAATCGAGTTAGGAAAGGTCAGGTAGAGACGATCGACCTGCAGCCGGTTGTCTGCGAGTTAAGTATCATTTTTCAGAGAAAGTATCGTATGGAAAGTATATGTGTCTCGAGTAATATACATTGAGAAGTAGAAAGCATTATATATTTAAGTATTATGCATTCTGAGAAGCGCGTGGGTACATTTTAAAATAAAATACGAGATTAGTCTGAATATGTCAGAGGCGAGTGCGTTAAATACGATATATTATAATTAGGTGAAAATGTGTACGATAGTTTTTAGTGTTTGTTAAATTCTATGGCAGTTGACTTGCACTTGACCGAAGGTGTAAAATAAACTTTATCGAAATCTCATACAACCGATTTTTACCAAACGTAAGGACTGCACGCGTGTCGAGTATTCGCTCCGCAGGAATATCGCCTTCGCGATTTGCGAGTCGCTCGTTATTTTGCCAGCGTATGATGGATGTGGGCCTTAAGGACTGCGGGAGCCCTATATTATATATACGGGGGCCTCCGTTGAAAGAAGATATATTTAGACCGGGCCCTTGAAAGATCCGGCCTCGTCTTGGGACGCGTCGCGAGGCGGATTCATTTTGAAAGCGCACGCAGGACCTTTTCCTCGCAGATCACAAGGCTGAAAGATTCACGAAACGGACGCAGATGCGCAGGAATACCGTTGCGCCGATGCATTATTTATTATCCTCGCGACGAGAGCGCACGCGATCGAGCGTTCAAATAACCAAATCGAGCGCAATAAAGAGGATCGCGCACGAAAATACCGTAGGAAAAGCGCATTTTTATAATTTCGAGTACTGCGATTTATTGAAACTATGCAATCTCTTTTCAAGTAAGGGAGACAAGGATAATCTTTGATACGGTGAAAGTTCTTCGACTCATCTTTCTGCCCAAAGTTTTTGCGACTCCAAAGAATGATCTTTAAGTTGTTTCGCTTACATTCCGTCGAAGAATTGTTAAATTTCGCCATTTTATATATTCTCTGATATAACGAATACTTCAAACAAACTGCTTTGTTATAATATTATTACATGTTAAACTTTAATAAAGTAATTAATTGAATTAAACATCGTTGTAGAAACTTACCTCGCACCTGGACGTGTCAAGTATCTCGACCTCCGTCGTGACATTGTCGATAGTGACGCTGTGTCGGTAGAGAAAATCTGCAACAGGTAGAAATTAATGTATTTAACACCAGAGTTAAGATAGGACTCTCATTAAAACTAAACAACAAATAAGAAATGGCCAATGCGAGTCTTAGGGCCAATTTCACAAACGTCGGTTAACTGTTAACCAGAGTTCAGTCAACTCCCTATCTTTTTCTATCTTGTTCTCTGAGAAGAGATAGAGGATCAATTAACCTTCGGTTAGCAGTTAACCGACGTTTGTGAAGCTGGCCCTAAGGCAGGATGTAGATAGCCCTTTCTTGTAAATTTTATTAAATTGTGTATTCATATACAGTTTCTTTTCCCATCCTGCGTGCCGATTTCTTTTCGGACATAACGCAGTTAGCTTACAGATGGAGTTATTATCGTGAGTGAATTCACATATTCAAATCGATAAACGATTTGTAATTATATTAAACATGCTATATCTTTGCATTTTTAGATGCTACATTTAGCATACAATCCCCCCCCCCTTTCCCCGCACTGTAATTAATTCTTATGTCTTTAGTTCCGTTATTTTCACGCCAAAATCTCGCGTAAACGTTAACTCGCGAGATAAATCGCAGACGACGATAGGCGAAATAATCTTTCGACGGCATTCCGATACACTTCGATCTCTTGGGAAAAATTTAGGCGACATTTTCCCGAAGATAGAAAACGCGGCTAATGCGCGAAAGTGGTAAAGCAGTTTAGTAACGACAATTCAAATTAGTTACGCTGACGCACGCTGCAATGTCACTGCGATCATTGACAATGACACGCGACTTTCGCTGGAAATTTGTGATCAGAAAGATTCGGACAACCGTATATTATAAGATTTGCATTTTCCGAACGTTATACGCTCGAATTATTTGCACACAGGCAGCCCTCTTGAAAGTGCCCATATATATTTATTGCACTTAAAATATTTGCATTTCTATTATCTCTAATTTAATAAATTCTCGAACGTTTTATAATACATTAAAATCAAGCCAACCACTTTCGGATTTTCAGTCTCTTGCATCTCTAGACTTTTTTTACATATTTAAATATTTAAATTCCTGGACTTGGATGTTCGGCGCGCCACAGATCTCGGAGACTTTTCGATTTCCAGCTTACATCTTCGGGCGAAAAAGGGGACGCTCATACTTCTCGGAGACTGATTACAGCGCTCGAGGAGCGCGTGCACTAGAGGGGGGAGAGGAAAGAGAAGAGACACGGAAGTACGTCGAACACAGTAGCCTTAACAGGATAAGCACAATAAATAGACGATAAATAAACTCATAAACACCTCGGTAGTGTCGGCAGCGTGGAGAGCCCAAGAGGCGCAGAAACAAGCAAATAAGGATGCTCGTTATATTAGCGGCCGTTACGCTCGAGAAAGCCTTATTGCCGGACAATGCTGACGGGGTAAACGATTTGAGCGTTGCGACGGAAAATTCATTGCATGAGAAACATCGGCGAGGTGGCGACAGGAGCTCCCTAGACCGCGAGGCGCAATTTGAGCTCTGCATACAGGACGGAAAGACTCCTCCTGCGCTCATGGCGAAAGAAATGGCGCGGATCTAGATAAGCGAAGGCTGAAAGGATGAAATCCAGCGAACGGAATTATTTTCCAGATAAGACGGACGCGCGCGGGAGTCTAGAAATCTAATTGTAGTCCCATCTAAATACAGGAACAATTTGCATATCAGACGACATGGAAAGTTAAGTCCTCGATGAGAAACTTTGATAAAAGTGTACGAGATTTAATTTCTAAGAAATCGAAAGTACGAAGAGTTACAATAAAAGCTGTACGCTGACAAAAGGAAAAAGAAGTAGCCGCGTGACACACTTTCGTCGGACGCAACTGGACGTGTAACCGTAATCGCCGACCGCGCGGGATTCGGCTTCTGCCGGAGATCCATCCCCGATACGCGATCTATTGTCGATCTATCGAAAGAACGGGATGCGCACGATGCAATCTTCTCCGCGCACGGACAAAACGTTCCCATTCGCGCACACGCGCGCGCGCGCGCAAGAGAGAGAGACAGAATCGACAATGCAACGAGACTCGCTTTCTAAATCATTGCTTGGAATTATTCCACGCAAAGATAGATTTGCATTGTTAATCGAGATCAAAATAATAACAAGTACACTGCACATCGTGGCGAGAGATGAAAAGGACCGATTATCCCCCCCCCTCCCGAGTCCCGTAAAACGACGACGCCGCGCGCTCGTGTACGAATGCCTTGTAATCGAAATTGCCGGTAAGGAGATCATCCTCTCGATCTTCCTTCGAGAAATCAAATTTAAGTCGTGCGGTAGAAGCCAATATAAATTGGCCGTTTCGAAAGTGCCGTCGCTATCACCGCTTGTATGTTTAGATGTCTAAATTTACGAGAAAGAAAAAGAGAGGCATTTCTTTTCGTGAAGATCGAGAGAGATTCAGAGAGCGGAAAGATAGATCCGTGAACTCTCACATTTCTGAATTCTTGCATGCCTTTATGCACATCTAGATATTTCGGTGCTTTAATTGAAATCTTTTTTTAACGATTCGATATTTCCAGACCTTTAAAAGCTTCACATTTCCTGCAGTTTCCTGCAATTTGGGTACTCTTAAATTCTCAAATTTGTCATTACTCGACGTCATAATCCCATTAGCAACCAAAAATATAATAAAACTTTGCAAACTTTGTAACGCGTGTTTATTTCTCACCTTTTATACTCATAGCTATAGATTTACAAAAGTAGACTAACTTTTATTAATGCGCTAAAGAATTTTTCCACGTTTCGTTCACATCATCTACGCGGACCAACCGAAGGAAATCAATGGCCCCGCTTTCACCGTTTGAGGGCGTTTTCTTCGGAAAAGTGATTCTCCAACGATCGGGAACGAAAGTGTGCGCGATAATCCGCGCACAAGTCGCACGAGGTGTCGACTATTTTCAATTCGTTTCACACGAGATTGTACCGCGTGCGCGCAAAAGAGAGAAAGAGAGAGAGAGAGAAGCTGAAGAAGCCACTGCACACGACCGCTGTAAATGCCAAAGTTTTCAAATAACAAAGAAAACTCGATGTCTCGATCTTCCTAAATATAACAATCCAAACGGATTGTTAAAATTCTAAAACTTTATTACTGTCAAAGACTTGTGCGTGATTTAAAAAGCGTAAAGGCGGTGACACGAGAAAAGGTTCTACTCTATAATATTAATGTCAACTGAAGCATTTGTCCAGTGTCCATTTATACGTTTAATACCTTGCCAGATTTATTTTCCGCAAAGCAGTCTGCATAATGTAATATCTCCAGGCCCCGAGTCGTGTCTGGGCCTGGCAGTTTTTATCTGTCATCATTCTTATCATTTTTTATCGATTCTCGATGAACGGCGATCGGTTCGTAGCGCTCACGGCGTCATCTTTGAGGATCGATTGAGCGATTATCCCCCTTCTCGATCGAGGGGGGAACACGTGAGATTATCCGCTTCCTGGTTACATTCAAGAGTGATTATCCATCATTTTCCCAGGAAATTAATTAATACCGATAGTAGGAGAGAGCAATAGTGGCGGCACCCTTCCACGCTCGTCCGGCATTATCGATCGCGGCATTATAGATCGATAGAGATCAAGATTGATTCCGAGTGCCAGTAATACACGAGAGAAATTCGATAAATCGATGATTGCGCTATTGTGCCGGGAAGCTTTCCGCAAATTACATTACGTGGATGCAGTTGCAAAGAAAGTAAGGAGAAACCTCGTGCAAATTGACTTATAAGTCTCGTAATTCTCCGACCCGAGGAGCTTTGTACACATTTTTCATAAATACAATCGCATATTGTTCCAAATTTTATTCAGATTACTAAGTTATTAATCACTCGACTTAACGTAAAAGAAAAGTGCATTAACAGCCCGAAAATATCAAAAGAAAAATGTATAGAGACTGAAATATTTGATACGGTGATCCTCGTCCCTGTCTTACGTCAACATGGAGTTAAATCTTTTTTTTTTTTCAAGAAGAAAACGTCAATATCGAGCAGATGAAATTCTCAGAGGTAGTAGCAGTTTTCGCTGCAATCTATTTTAATCAAACGAATTTACATATTTTACATAATTATATTTGCCTCGGGCATGTCGATTATCGTCGCAACAATGTCCCTGCGACGACTATCAGACTCGCGACGAAATGTGGCGTACTCGGCCGGCTCGGATGTTACCGCAGCCGGCTCCGGCTCGCAGAGGTGTTACAAAAATACGAGCGGCCGGCCGGTTCAGGGTTAAGGGGACAATACTTCACGGTGAATTTTTCCAGGCGGCTCGGATATCCGCGAAACTCGCCGTCGTAGCTTATACGTCCGCGGGCGTGCACGGCAATTATTACGGCGAAGTAGCCTGCATGAGTTATGGGAGAGATCTGCATTCTGCGGACCCTCCCCATAGGCTCTATTTCATATCGAGTGTTTAAATCTCCGCCCTCCGCGGGTCCAGCGGTGTTGGGCCGCGTCTCCCTTTCTCTTTCTCCCGCTCTCTCTCTCTCTCCGTCTTTCTCCATCTGAGCCCCGCTGCTGCCCTACCCCCGTATACCTCGTGTATTTCTGTGACCGCTAGAATGCCCTCGGGACGTCGCTCGCGAGGCGCCATGATTAAGATTTTTCACCGGTACCCTTGAATTAGAGTCCGGTTCCGAGCGCGAGAATATTTCACGGCGGATTTTTCCGTCGCGGCCCCCGCGCGAGAGGCACCGATCGGAGATTTAGATTCGCGTTTCGTACCACGGGGTGAGTATTTCGCGCGCGCGCGCGCGAGTCGGAGCCGCCCCACCCGGGAGATAAGTCGATAGCGAGCGCGAAAGGAACTTAGATATGAACTGGACATTTATCCAGAATGCGACGCCTCGAAATTAGCAACGAATGGACGCAATCATTCATGCTTCGCATTGGCAATTATCTCGAGGGGGGGGGGGGGAATGGGATAATGAAGAAACACTTACCGCTGGTCGAGCTGTACTCGCCGATGTATCGCCTCGTCAAGTACCGCACAACCACAGCTGCAACAAAAAAGGGAAAAGGACGTTGATTAGCTACAGAAACAATCTCGCAAATAATCGTAATGAATCTGATGATACACGGAGTCGTAATTGCGAGTAATAGCGTAAGAAGGCGCGTTTTCGTTCTCCAGCTAGAAGGACGCGCGCCCATGCGCAGGTGTTGAAACGCCATTAACTTATTTTCAATGTTAATAAAGAAAGCATAAATATCGCGGGGAAACGGGTTCCCTTGAGGTTTGCCGATAAATTTCTTGCATCATAAATTCCGTTTCGTTGCGGCGCGAAACGCGACCTAAGATTCAACATGCTGACGACGTTCCTCGCGTCGTCGTCGCCGCCGCCGTTGTCGTTCGAATCTCGCAAGACTTATTGAGTACATAGATTCGTACCGCTCCGTACTCATAGGTACACCGTTTATAAATCTGTCGTAGAGTTCAGCCTGGCGGCGACGACGCCGACGACGACGACGACGACGAGGACGACGACGACGACGACGAGGATGAGGAGAGAAGAGGTAGAGACACGAGCAGAAACGGAATATAGAACTTCATTCGTGAGCTATTTGCTGAGATGAGAGATAGAGTGCATATCTTCGAAATATCTCCGTGCAGCTGGACGACGATATTTCAACGCGGATTCAACACGCGCTCGCGGGAAGCCGATGGACCAGCGGGGGCTGATCCCTTTAGTGGAGGAAATTCTTATTTATCAAAAGGATTGCGTATCATTAGTAACGCGCCAAGCGTTTTGTTTTATTTTTAAAAAGTTTGCTAAAAATCTCTACGGTATCTTACACAGTTGGAAAATTTGTGTTTCCCTGTGAAGAAAAATGCCGGTTAAAATCTTTGTGCTAAATGTTTAACACATTCATGTGTTAACATATTGCTCTTGTGTTAATTGACCTCAAATGTAAAATTATTAAAATAACTAAAAAGAAATGTTAAAACAACACAATGCGTACTTATTTTTAAACCGACACAATACATATAGTACATTTAATACATTTGACTTATTACATCTGTAAAATGTAAAAATTACATTTTTTAAATTCATTCTGTCATTAAAAATATGTTAATTTTACACACAATTTATTTCAAATTATTTGAGATTCAAACCCTGGCTGAGGTAAATTTTTCCCAATAAATTTGTTATATGACAGAGTCATTAAATCCGTTTGTTCACCTTGATGCTAGGTGCACTTACGTTTACAAATTTAGTCTTACATGTACCTTCACACATATAGACATTGAGTTAATTTTATATCAGGACTCTTGCTTCGACGACGAAAAACATGTGAGTTCATGAGATTTCTTTACATTTTTACTTTCCTTTTTACATCTGTCTTTTATCTCTCGACTTTTCACCACCACTTTACATTTGCTGGCACAAACTTATGTGCTCATTTCGTTTTTCTGACTACAACCGTTATTATACATCTAAATTATTGTCACTTGATAAGGACCTGGAATTAGGTCGAAACGTCGTGAAATAAACCATTTAATCTTGCCAGTCTGGCCGACTATGAGCTCTTCTTTTTATATAAATTAAAATCATTTAGACACTAACATCCTGTCTTGGCTCTTATATCCTTTATTACTTCATAATTTCACGCCGCTGCCTTACGAATTTTATTTGAAAAATAAAGAGCTTCCAAGAGTTTGTATCTTCAACGGCCCGTGCAAAAATATCCGCGGATCGTTACCGTGCCAAGTGACTCGGTAATCGAGGGAAGACCCGTTCTCTCTCTTTCTCTCTCTCTCGGAGATGACTGTCATCAAATCGAAGCGACGTCGCGCGTAATCCTATACAGGCCGCGCGAACCGGAGTAATTGATATGGACACGGGAATGTTGCTCGTAATGCCTAATAGTCCCAGCAGTAATCTGTGCCAAGCGCCCGGGTCTAATGAAAGCACGTTCTCCGCGCTCAAGTCCAAACGCGAGGGAAACCCGATACCCGTGCCAGATACAATGCGTTTATAAAACTCTTATCCTTCGCAGGGTCAACGCGGGTGAACGATGACAATATAGCGGGCCCGACACGGCTGCATTTATGAAGAAATAACCGATGGCTCGCGAGACGTCGCTTGTAGATAGCATCTGTGAGAGAAGATAATCCGACGCAAGGTTAAAAAGTCGAAAAAAAATATGTCGATTACCTGCAGTGGTACTGCAGCCGTTAAATTCCAAAAGAAAAAGAAACGCATCAGTCTCGAAAAGTTGAAATCTCGAAAAGAAAGTGATCTTTCGACCGATAGCGCAAGTGAGCGTGTACAAAGTGAAAAGGGGGAAAAAAGGAGAGAAAAAGAAACGGAGCGGGAGAGAAGTACGAGTAGGAACAAGCGAACGAAGAAGAATAAGAGGGAAGCCGATTAAGTCACCTGCGGAGAATTGTGTGTAATGTGGAAGATGCAACGGTACGAGCAAAACGCAGCCATTCGCGGTGCCATTCGCCGACATACGATGCCAGCGCAGGGTTCTATAGATAGATCGTTGGAGGATAAGCCGCTTGGTGGACGTAAGAAAATAGTAATTACGGCCACGATCGCCGTGGATAGGAGGGGAAAGAAAGAGAGAACGAGAGAGAGAGAGAGAATGAGAGGGGGATGAGGACACGAAAAAAAAGGACGAGAGGCGCGTGATCAACCAAGCGCATCCTCTTGTCTCGTTGAAATTTCCTCTCTCTCCCCTAAAGATTCAACGCGATCTTTTATTGGAACAAATTTCACTCGGAGATCCCGGTGCGTTAACTTCTCACCGCAGAGTATCGGATTTTCGGCCTGTAACTTTTTTTGATACGATTTTGAGCAATAAGAATTTTGTACGGCAAATGAATAAATAAAAAAGTCCTATTTATCGCGCCGGGAAAAGAAAGAAGATTGATGTATCATTTGACTGAAGAACACTTTTCTCTAACACCTTGAGATAACGAGAGGTGTATTTTTCTTGAAAAAAAGAAAATAAAAGATTAAATTGCAATTTAATCGTATAATGTGGAAAGTTTTATATTTAGAACATCGAAACGGTATAATAAAAACTTGAGATTGATCCTGCAGGAAAGAAACTCGTTGAAGCCCGGCCTCCACGAGCTACTATTCTGTCCGCTTTTCTTGTGACACGGCAATAAAGCAAGTCGTTTAGATCAAATGAATTTATGAACACGTCTCGGCTCGAATAGCGGACCTCCAATTGCCTCTTCAATAAGCGTTAACGCAGATAAATGACTGCAGATAACAATCTCACGTTTCTCGCGTGACCGTAATTCTTTTCGTGATTCCTCAATGTCGGCAGTTTTTGCGAAATCTACTACGCGTCCAAGAATTCTCCAATTCGCTCGGAAAGATCCGATTCGAATACACGGGGAGAATTTTCTCTTAAAATTGATCCTGAATCATCGTGCAATCGTGTGACAACGTAGCACTTCGAAGAATTTTGCGAGTTATCCGAAATTTTGCCATATATTTTACTAGTAAAATGTACAGTACAATTTCAACAAATATCTCAAAGTTCTTCAAAATGCCACGTTGTCGCACTCTCGAAATGTCAATCACCGCATTAGAACTGCGAATCAACGAATAATACTGTTCTCGGCGATGACCCACCAATTGACTTTTACACGATCAGCACGATTTTTCAGGAATAAATCTTAAGAAGGAATACTCTCCGCGCATCATTCGCTACTGGTATTCTCGCGCAAATTAATTTAATTGCACGGTCAGTACGACAGTCAGGTTTCAGGTTTCAGGTTTTCCAAGCGGGATCCTCGTTTCTTTCGCCGTGAAAGAGTTACGAGTGCGTTATTTTGCGTACGCACGCGATTCGGAATCGCCGCGCACGTCAGGCCGGAGGCGCGATAATGCGAAGAAGAAATGTTACCGCGTAAATTCGGAATCGAGAGAATCGAGCACCGCGGCCGGCCAGCAGGACGAATGTATCGGATGTCCGGATCTTTACAACCTGTGCTGCTGCACACCGCGCGGGATTTTTCGTGGCGCGCTGCGACCCTCCCCTCCCCCTTGTCCCACACTCGCATAGAACGATATCCGATAACGCGCACGGAGGTCCTTATTATACCCAGCGGGGTCCCGCGAGGGGACTTTTAGGGATTCGCTCCCGTCCAGACCGTCCCCCTCCGCCGTTTGCCGCGGCCGCCTGAGAATGCACCGTTTTCGTCGCAAAAAGTGGAGCAGACGACATTGTCGCGTGTTTCACCGCAATCACGATCGTGCGTGGCAGCGAAACGCGCGAGGCGGCGAGTCGCGATTAATTGCGATCACGCGTACAAAAAAAAAAGAGGAATGCAATAGTCCGGACTTGAAACAATGCCAGTTTCGAGAGTGCAACGGCAACACGATTCGTTTTCGCCACGTTGAACGAGGGAACTCTTTCCAAAACCGATTGAGAACTCTAGAACTTTGGCGCGGCACTCGGAACTGTAATTGATATTGATGAATTGTGAAAAGATGGGGAGCTACTCTTCAAACTTTTTAGAGTGAAATATTCATTTCGTTGGAGAAAATCTTCATTCTAATAGGATAAACATTCCACTCTATGGCAGTATTTTCACTCGAAAAACTTTAGAGAGTAAAGCCGACGACACACGATACCATTTTTCTTACTGCTCT